TATATTCTTCAACATAACCTGATTGTGGGTAATTAACATTTTCCTATGTTATATATTTACTACAGGGTCTACAGGGTCTTACTACATCAATTAGGCTTGCAGTGATGCTCCTGTTTTTCAGCCTCCCAAGTGCTGGGATTACAGGCCTGTGTCACCAAGCCCAGTCTCAGAATCACCATCTCTCATGCCCTGGGCATGGGGCTGGCCCCTGCATCTGCCTAAACAGGTGCTTTAACCCACTGAGCTATCTGGCTGGCCTGACATTTTCCTCTCTTAAAGGTCTCATTTTAAGAGTTTACAAAACTTAAATCTACTATGGTTCCTTATTATTCCACATTACATATTCAAGCAATATATAACATACATTGTTGAACTATTTTCTAATGTACTATTTTAGAATTAACTATTCTAAGTATTAAACACTTCCTGTATATATGGGGTGAACATTAAAAAGCTAGTCACAAAAATGGAACCATCACACTTTCTTATTCCAGTCTGAACATACACTTGACTCCAGGGTAACAATCATACTTTTTCTCCCAATAAAAGCATCTAAGGATAGGATACAAAACAGAAAAAACCCAAAATATTCAAAATTCCCCTAAGTCTTAGCCTACTGATACATATTAGCTATTTTTTTTTTTTTTTAACACGGAACCGGGGATTGAACTCATGCCCTTGCGCTTGCCAGAGAAGCACTTATTCCACTGAGCCATGTCCCCAGCCCCCAAAAGTGTATTTTTTTCTTTTTCTTTTTGCGGTACCAGGGATCAAACTCAGGACCTTGTGCTTGTCAAGCAAGCACTTATTCCACTGACCTATCTTCCTCCCCACCCCCCTTTTTTGGGGGGAACCGGGGATTGAACTCAGGCCCTTGTGCTTGCCAGGGAAGTGCTTATCCTACTGAGCCATCTCCCCGGCCCCATATTAGCTATTCTAAAATTTCTAGAGTCTCAACCTTTCCAGGTTCATTTTTGTCTGTTTTAAAATATAAATCAAGGTGGGCATGGTAGTATACTCCTGAAATGGTATTAATATTGATTAGTTACATCACTTAAATTTTTGATAATTTGAAAGTTTTAATATAATTAAAGTGTCAGCAAGTTATGTCATAGTACCTGAAAATATAAAACATTTATGCCATTTATGCCAGTACAGGTCATTTCTAAACACTTTGTGTCAAAAACTAACCATTATTAACACCAAAAAGCCAAGCAAGAGTGCCAGCTGATAAATGGCGTTTTCTCTAACATTTGTTAGAAGTAGGCGGATGTTTCTATTATCTAAATTTCACAGCTGAAGAAAATGAAATTTACAAAGGTTCATTTGCTGAAAGTTATCTATCTGATAAGCACTGAATCCAAGACTCAAAGTCTACCCGGTCTTCAGTATCCAAGACCACAGTGCTATTCATGGGACCTCCTTAACTACAGTAGAGATAAATATAAAGTACTAACATGAAAGACAAGAGTCATGTGCTTAAAAATTACATATTGTCTGGTAAAGATGATGCATTGAGCACATGTACCTACATCCATTCCCAAATGTCCACTAAAGGACAGTGAAGTTTTTGTTTTAAAATATAAATCAAGGTGGGCATGGTAGTATACTCCTGTAAGCCCAGCACCTGGGAGGCTGAGGCAGGTAACTGTCTCAAGTTCAAGGTCAGCCTTAACTATGCAAGACCCTATCTCAAAAAATAAATGAAAGAATAAACAGAATTTAAAGAAAAATAAAATACCACTCTAAAGGGATGAAAAAGGAGACAGCAGCAACAAAAAAATCAGAAGCTGGAGACAAATGGACAAGTAGTAAATAATGTAGTAGACCCAAGAAAACTGAATCCTGTACCAGCAGTAGAAAGAGCCAAAAAAAGAAACAAAAGCAAGCACACCACAGAATTTATCAAAGGTTCAGGAATTCGTGGATATATGTATCTCTGGAAGCAGTGGGTAAAACCATAGACAGTGAAATAAGAATTGGGCCCGGGTGGAAAAAAAAAAAAAGCAGGCTGGCCAGATAGCTCAGTGGATTAAAGTGCCTGCTTAGGCAGCCTCAGGGACTGGGGTTCAATCCCCAGCCTGCCATGCCAGCCCTGCCCCAGGGCATGCTGAGACAGCAATTGAGTGGGCGTGATGGCGCACCTATATCTCAGCGCTTGGGAGGCTGAAAACAGGATCATTACAAGTCCAATCTGTGCAGTGAGATCCTGTACTAAATACATAAAAGAAAAAAAAATTGGGCCTTGGTGGTCTATGTAATCTGAGCACTCTGGGAGTCTGAGGCAAGAGGATAGCAAGTTTGGGCCTAGTCTAGACAACTTTGTAAGACCTGTGTCAAAGAAGAAAACAAGGAAAGGACAGAAGAAAGGTCTGGACATGTAGCCTAGTGAATAGGCCCTGGGTTCAAGTTTTAGTACCATAAAAAAGAAAGGTGGTGGGGGTGAAAGAGAGAGAAAAAACAAACTGGTTATAAGCTTAAGTAAGCAAGTGCTCTTTGCAACTCTACATAACTAAGCAGATTCCTTTCCCCAATTCACAAATCACCTTTCAGCAAAATTGAACAATAAGCTCTACTCACTTAAAACTTCTAATCAATTTATTAGTCCTTATTAACTAGATACTCATGAGAGGCATCTAAAATGAAAGAAAAAAAATGCGAAGAGCAATATTAGATCAGACTATGGAAGAAAAAGAAAACATCAAAAGTGGTATCACTGGGGCCAGGGAGATGGCTCAGTGGAATAAGCGCTTCCCTGGCAAGCGCAAGGGCCTGAGTTCAATCCCCGGTTCCGCAAAAAAAAAAAGTGGTATCACTGGTGGGGGAGATAGCTTGGTGGCATAAGTGCCTGCCTGGCAAGTACAAGGTTCTGAGTTCAATCCCCAGTAACACATGATGTGCTGGCCTGGAAGTAGGGCGTGGTATCCCATGCCTATAATCCCTGCACTAGGGGCGCTGACACAGGAGGATCTCTGCCAACTTGAGAGTAGCCTGGGGGCTACAAAAGTGAACACAGGGCCGGCCCAAACTGCATAGCAAGATCCTGTATCACAAAAAAAAAAAAAGAAAAAGAGAGAAAAATGGTGTCACTGAATAATACCAAAGGGGAGAATCATCAAAAAAATTTGTAAAATTTCTGTAAACTAAGGATACAATTTTCAAGTTTAAATCTGTTTGTCAAGTGTCCAGCACAGTGAATTAAAAATACCCAAAGTATGTCATCACAGAATGTAATAATACTAGGGACAAGAAAATTCTATTTCTCTGGGAAAGAATTTAGATCCCACAAAAAAATAGCAGGCGTCAGATGTCCCAAAAACAACAATGAAAGCTAGTCACAATGGTGCAAAGAGTTAAAATCCTGAAGGTAAAAAAGATTTCCAACCTAGGGCCAGGGATAGATCAGTGACACAGCACCTGCCTGGTAACCATGAATTTGAGTTCAAGCATAAAGAAAAAAAAAAAGATTTCCAACCTAGAAATTATATTCAGCAAACTATCAAATGTTAGAAAAAAAGAAGAAAAAGCCATTTTCAGGTCTCAACACATTTGCCTCATGTCACTTTTCTTAGAACTGCGCTTTACCAAAGTAAGGGAGTAAGCCTAGAAGAGATGAGATCAACAAAAACACTAGAGATCTAATATGGTATAAGAAGAAATTTCCCTGATGAGGGTGAAGGAAAATTCCAGTTTAGAGCCTCACACCAGGCACGGACTAAGGCAGGTCAAAGGGCTTCAGGAAAAACTTAGAAAGATTAAAATATCTAATAAAACAGAACCATTTACACAATTTAGACAAATACCAAGTTTTGTTGAGTCAATGAAAAGTTTATAGAAAAATTAAACTTCAAAAAACTAAAATGGGGCCAGCCAGATAACTCAGCAGACTAAAGCACCTGCTTAGGCAGAGCTTAGCCCCAGTGTTCCATGCCAGCCCCGCATCCAGGGTGCACTGAGACAACGATTGAGACTGGGCATGGTAGTGTGCTTGTAATCCCAGCACTTGGGAGGCTGAAAATGGAGAATCACTACAAGTCCGATCTACGTAGTGAGACCCTGCAGACCCTGCCCTAAATACATAATCAATAAACAAACTAATAAATAAATAAAATGATGTAAGGAAAGAACTTCATGAACAGCACTATAATCAAAAGCACAGAGTACACTGAAGACAAATAAGAAATGTATGTGTGGACGGACATAAGGGAGGAAAAGAAACCTAAGTCCTAATGACACACTGAGAAGTCAGAGGGCATTTCCTAAAGCAGAACAAACCAAGTTATGTTATTTAGAGACACAATTAGCTAAAAAGAGGTAAATATGTCGCCTCTGTGGAGTGCTTCTTCTGGCAACTAACACAGATTACTGCTCAACTTCAAAACACACCATTTTCTTCCTCTGGCATTACATGTACTTGGTACCAAGCAGCAATGTTACTTTTCATAAAGAATGCTTGGCAGAAAGGTATAATGCCACTAGATCAGGATCAGCAAATTCTCAAGTCCCAAATGAGCAGAATTCAACTTAATGCAGTGATTACTGATTTTCAACAAAAAGTGGGACAAGGAAGAAAAAAAAAAAACCTTAAATTTTCTGGTATTTTATTAAAAATATAAACTAATGATCTTGCACTTAAGTATGACTGTGGTTATGTGTTGACTCCCAGTAAGCATAGCTATTTGTAAGGAATTCATCACAAATATACTCTGTACAGAACTAAAAATGTAAATAGAAATGACAAGACAGTGACATTTTGGACATGACCACCTTACAATAAAAATGGAGTC